GCAAACTATTGGCATCACCTTCAACCATGGCTGGACAAGGCAAATTATTAGTCTCACTCGGCCACAGATATATATATATATATATATAAATGAGAAAGAAAATTACATAGATGCCATCAAAATCAAATAATTTTACATTTATTTCATTTTTGTAGATTTAAAAAAAAATTCTGGTAGAACATTTTATTCTATCATAATACTCTTTAAGATTAGAGCAGAAGATATGTATGGTCATCTTTATTGAGAAGAAAAATAAATGATTTGAGTATCATAAGTATAAAGATGACATGTTTTGAGTGTCATTTATGTATTTTCCCTATGTATTACGCTTTCAAGAAAGTGCGGACAAGACTTATTTAAAGCACAAACCAAATCCAAAAATATCTATAAATCTATGAATAATTTATGGGACAACAAATCAACTTGCACGTTTTTGCTACAAAATTCAAAGTCATACATTTGGCCTGAGCGCTCAGATAAAGAATTCAAAGTCATATTTGCAATTGCTTGTTGGCTTTGCTAATACCTTGCTGATCATAATTACTATATATGACAAGTCATGTGCAAAATAAGTCCAACCAAAGAGTGCAAGAAGATGCATATACCAACACACAAAACTAAAGTTGTCCATGAAAAAAACATGAATAGTTTGTCTGATAACTTTTCCTTTTTTCTTTTCGTTTATTTCCAGTTTTGTCCTAAACTTTACCATCATTCCCATTTTATTTTCTGATCTTAAAAACATACACTTTCACTATTTTAAACTACAAATTCATCTCATTTAACCGCACTTTGTTAAAAATTTTGTTACAAATAAAAAGAAAAGAACCACGAAGATAACGTTTTTCATTAATCTCAACTATGCTCTCTTAAATTTCATGGTCATTTGTATTTTGATTCTTGAACTCATAAGACTCTCACTTTACCGTTCAAATTTTATACTAGCCTCACTTAATACTTTGTTAAAATTTATGTTAAAAATAGATAGAACATGCAGTCTTTTTTATTTTTATTTTTTAATTCTAACAACAACACTACATGATTGCACTTAAACTCTTTTTCTTTTGTTTTTGTTTTTGTTTTTGTCTTTTTTTTTTTATAGAATTTCTAACAAAGAGGTTAAGTGTGACTAATTTAAAATTTAAGGAGTTTAAAGGGGAGCAAATTAGTGAGAATAATCTTAAAATATAAGGGTATATTCTCAGGGAAAAAACTAAAAATACCACTTAAAATAATATATTAGTCCACTTTTACACTCAATTGTTTGAAAAGGCATAAATAATAAGCTTATAAAAACCATGATAAAGAGCGTACTTCTCTAATCTCCTAATACTTTTACCCTCTAGTGGTAACTCACCGCGTCTTTATTATTTATATTTTAAGAAGAAATTTAACAAAAAAGGGTTAACTAAATAGGACATATTCAAAGTTTGAAGTTAGAATTTATAATGTTAGAAGGACAAAGAGAATAACGCATGGTCATGAATGTGAAAAGTATGCATGGTCGTGTCATTTCATGTCGGTCGGCTCATGAAGTCTGATTTAGCAGGAAGCAAGAGTTGGCAAAAAATTGACTATAAAAATATATAACAGAATTTCTACTATAGGAGATAGGAGATGTCTTTCGTCTGGCAGACACTATTTACCTGATTGATTCGGCGGAAGACATTATACAAGATTTATGTTGAATTGTATAATTATTGTATGTAAATATACAAGACATATAATGAATTGTACAACTTTCCGTACAACTTATACATATTTACATGTAAATATACAAGACTTATGTAAATATACAATTTTCATATACTAAATTGTACAAGACATATGTTGAATTATACAATGTGTAAATATATAAGACTTATATTTAATTGTACAACTATCTTTATGTAAATGTACAAAAAATCTCTAAATTGTACAACTGTCATTCTAGTCAGGTAAAAGATGTTTGCCTGACCAAAGACTTTGCCCAGGAGGTATGAACTTTTTACTATATATATATAAACTATTATTTTAGCCATTATCTCTTTAACCGTTTGATTAGTTAGTGGTCACATTTAAAAATAGACAGTGCGTGAAATAGAATTGCAACTACACATAGATCAGACTTTGAAAATTAATTTGACAGCTAAAACAATATTTTCTACCAGCAATAAAAAAAAAGATAGTTATTATCGTAAAAATTCTCTAAAATAAAAAAGAATAGGAGTAAAAACTCAATTTCATTCGTTAATGATAACGATCTTAATTACAAAAAGGCATACATACGAGTAAGCCCTAAAACATTAGTCGATGGACGGCAAATACAATGGAAACAATTTAAAGTTTAGGGGCTCAATTAAAAATGATTCTAAAGTTTAAAAACATCAGTGATAATAATTTTAAAAAAAATGCAAAAAGAAAAAAAGGAACAAGGCTCTTCAATATTAAAGGGTGGGTCGACAAAAGATTGCTCATTTAGTGGATCTACTCTCTGTGTTGACCAAGTCAGCTCCAAAACGGTTGCAAATTTAAAATTTTCTAGAAGAGTTGGAAAAAAAAAAGTGAAAAAAAAACACATGCATCCACTCCATTTAATTTAATTAATACAGTGGGAGAAAAAAAAATCATACTGACATTTTTTTTTTTTCATAAACCAAAAATTCAACAGTACAATATTTTCAATTTTACCAAATAATTAGGCATTTGCTAATTAAACTCCACCGACCGTATTAATATGTCATAAAAGCTCCATTACATTCTAAGAACAACAAACACGAATTATCAAATAGAAAAAAAAAAAAATTATGAAAATGAAACATGATATGAAAAAATTAGTAATTACGAGAAAAAGTGGGAAAGAATCACCCAACACCCCACAAGATATTCAACATTAACCACTTGTCACAATTGAAATCGATTATTTGACATGATTAAGGCCTTAGGCGTGATCTTAGTTAAGTATTTTCAATAATTACACTTACTAATTGGATCCTCTCGGTTTGAGTCTTATCTCATTGATTTACAAGGATTTTTTCTTTTTAATCTTCACTTGCTCATATTTTGCTTTATTTTGAGAATTTGTTTCGATTCTCAAGTTTGTTTAGGTAAATTTGTTTTCTCTTTGAGTAATTCAATTAGACTATGGTACTATTTGCATAATTTAATTCAATGTTTTAGTATGATGCATTAATTATCATCTCGTTACTTTAGAAAGTAGTAGACTTGTACAATTTCGTTTATATTTTCTTGACTAATTTATGTTTATACCATAATGTCAGAAGTTAGGAATTAGTTAGGATAAAGTTAAGTAGGATTTTGTTCTATTCAAATTTAAATAAGTTCCTGCTTTTATCTGTCTTGTTTAAATTTAAATAGGATTCTTCTTTTCTTAAATTCAAATAGTAAAATCCGAGTATAGATATAGAAGAACTGATTGTTAATATGTTTTCTTTATGCGATGTGGGACTCTACTAGTAACTATTTCTACTTGTACATTTCTATAAGTTTTTTAAACTAATACTATGTATTCCCATAGGGATGAAACCCTGTCCTCTGACAAGGGAACGGGTCCCATCTGTGGGATCCACGTGGATATAAAACATTTAAAAAAAATTAATAAGATTTTAAAGATTTCTTTTGAGTAATATACAATTTTTTTTTAGTTTCTATTTATTCTAAAGTTTCACGTACTATATTCATATCATACAAGAAATCTTATTACTAAAAATGTATGTAAGAAAAACTCTAACACAATAAGAATTGTTGTTACGAATAACAACCAAAAATATAATAGGATAGTATATATAATAGTAAAGAGAAAAACAAATCTAGACCAAAATTAAGAACAAATAATTTGAAGATTGATCTATTGCGGATAATGCACTAGAAATTTAGATAGTCAAATACTAGGTCAGAAAAAGATGGAAATTGTGACTTTGAGTCTTTTAGAAAAATTGACAAAACTTGCTATTTTAAAAATGAACAATATCCCAAGAAGAAAAGGTCGTCCTATGAGCTTAGAGCTCATGGTGAGGGAGACTTTAAAATGAGATAATCTTAGGATTTTCTCTTAATTAGGTTGTTTAATTATCATTTTGTTTGCTTTTGATTTTTTTTCTTTCTCTTTTTTTTTTTTATATATGTTCTAGTTTGTAAGAATTTGTTTTCTTTTCTTTTTGATAATGTTTTTGCTTATTTAATAGAAAATCATGATTGATATACTATTCTTTCTTTTTTGAATTCTTCAAACGATTTTTTTTTTTTTTGGGGAGAGACCATGATTAATGATAAAGTTAAAAGAAAAGTTTAGTAAAATTTTCGTCTTTTCTTCTTGTTTTTCAATGGAACAATCATTCAAAAGAGGATTGCAACATACTTGTAATGGAGTATGAAATATGTCACAAGAAACATTTGAAAAGATAAAATAGTTAATTATTATAAGAAAAAATAGAATAAATGTTGAAACAATATTGAGAAACAAAAATCTTTTAGTACCAGTCCTGTTCTATGAGTTTTACAAATTAAACTAACACGTAAATATAATAATAGGATTTGTTTTCCTTTTTGTAGAAAAAAAAAATTAATTAATATGATTAATATTTTGAGGTGTAAAAATAACAAGTTAAGGGCTTCTAACAGAGGAATCTTGTCATAAAAAGCTAATCAATTAATGATCCTAATAATAAGGACCTTGACTTAAGGGGGACCTTGACTTAAGGAGGCCTTGATGGCCTTTTCCTTGAGCCGACAGTCGGCATTGCTCCTTGCCTCCTAACCACAGCCAAGGTCCTCCTCTAACCTATTCTTGCCTCGAAAAAATTCCGTCGTCCTCTAACGGCGGTGGCGGCAGAATTAACAAAAAGGCAGAGGCGGAGAGGGGCGGTGGTTGTGGTGGACAAATTTTTTAATTAATTAATTAATTAATTAGGATTATGGATCCCAGTTTCTTTTGTAATAGCACCAAGCTAGATCCCAACAGGGAATGGTGTGTAAAATTCTCAGAATTAAATTACGCGGTGATGTGCTACAAACAAACGCTGCTCAGAAAGGAAGGGCTTTGGAGGGCAGAAAACGCCACCAGTTTACTAATACCAACATTCTTATCTCAATTGGTTCTCATCATTTCCATTAATCACCTTCTCATGTTCGCCTTCAGGCCTCTACGTCTTCCTCGCATTACCGCCGAGATACTTGTAATGTCCCGATCATACATGTTGCATAAGCATAACATACATTATACGTGACAATTAAAAACTTGCATGAATGTATTTATTTATTTATGTATTTATATATGTTTCTATATATAATGTGTTGCTATGAGCTGCTGTTTTGCTTAATTCCTTTGATCAATTAGTTACAATTAATCCATGTCATTATTCATCTAATTAATAGAAATATATTTTCTTTTTTTGTATTTTACAAATTTATGTTAATTAATTGTTCATGATATGTGAGCAATACATAAATGTTGTCACGCTAATAGGGTTAAAGATTTATGTCAACTTTTTGTTAATTTATTACTAGCAAAAAAAAAAAAAAAAAAAAAGAACTTGAAATTTCTGTAAATTATTGTTAATTTTGTGATTAATTATATCCTTGAGCTTTAAATGTGTCAACCCTCTATGTGTCAAAGTTTGGAAAGTCGGCCAACATGCTCTTTTTGTCTAATAGCTAAGTTGCGAATTAATTGTTTTTCGACATTTATGATTTTATCAAATTCTCTTAAATTATTATATATGTTTTTTTTTTAATATTTCAATTGATTGCAAAAATACTTTATATTTATGCAGGGTGGTGTAATATTAGGTGCAGGTGGAGTTGCCGGCACAATGTTTGGCAAAGATTACCTATTTCCATACAGAGCCATAATGACATTAGAGACTGTGGCCAACTTAGGGTTACTCTATTATATGCTCCTGCTTGGACTTGAAGTTGACCTCAAACCAGTAATACAAGCCCCAAAAAAGGCCTTCACCATTGCCCTATCCGGCCTCCTCCTTACCTTCCCGGTCGGCGTCGCCTTGCACTACATGGTCGTCGAGAATTTTACGGTCGCCACCGACGGTTTGCCAACTAGATACGGGCCGCTCTTTTGGGGCATTGCCCTCTCCACCACTAATTTCCCCGAGCTCGCACAAATCCTCATCGACCTCAAACTCCTCCGCTCTGAGGTGGGGCGCACCGCGCTTTCCGCCGCCGTCATGACCGACCTCACCTCATGGCTCCTCTTCGTCGTATGCATGGCCGTCATCAACACCGGCCACGTCTACACCCTAGTGCTCGGCGGGGACTTCGTGGTTCTCTCCCTCTTTGTCTTCCGGCCGGCTCTCTCGTGGGCTGTCGGCCTAACAAACCAGCGCATTGTCGAGGGCGGAAGCGGCTACAACGACTACCACATAAGCTTCATCTTAGCTCTTGCCGTCGCCTTCGGGTACGTGACTGACGCCTGCGGGTGTCACTCGATTCTCGGGGGTTTCATGTTGGGGGTGATCATGCCTAAGGGAGAGCTCAAGGAGAAGTTGATGGAGAAAGTGGAGGACTTTGTTTTAGGGCTTATGATGCCATTATTCTTCATTGTTGTTGGGCTGAGGACAAACCATTTGCTAGTGTTTGGAGGGCAGTTTGGAATCGGGAAGATTATCGGGGTTTTGGGTTTGGCTTTTGTGGCTAAAATAGCCAGCACTTTCCTTGCGGCTGTTTTCTTCAACAAAATGAAGTTCAGAGATAGTTTGGCTCTGGGGTTGCTCATGAACACCAAAGGATTACTAACATTGATTGTTATTAGCTCCGCCAGGGACATAAAGGTATGCAACTTGATTATTCTTTGGATTAATGTCATAAATGCACCTGAACTTTATACCTTATTTCAACATGTCTTTTGAACTTTGAAAAAGGTTCATTTCACTCTCTGAAATATATACCCAGTTCAAAATGTCCACTACATTTATAAACTAGTAAATTGATGACGTGGCATTATTTATGTTTTTATAAATGGCATCTTAACTATTAGTTTTAAGTCAATTTGTGCCTGAATTATTATTTTTGTATCAACTTACCCCTAACTTTTCAAAAGATCAGGGACAAGTCGACAGAAATTAATAGTTCGTGGATATTTATATTAAAAAAAAAAAATTAGTTCAGTGGGTATTTTGAACCAATTTTCATAATTTAGGAGTTGAGATAAACCCTTTTCAAAATTCAATTCACATACAGTTTGAAGTATAGAGTTTAGGAGGCATTTATAAACTTAATCCTTATTCTTTTAGGAAAATGGGATTCATCCCTATGCCATAAATCTCCATTATTCATGTAACAATGGGTCTCACTAAATTAGTTCTTCCTCACCATCTCATGAAACTAACTTTATGTGAGCAGTGTGGTTTTGTTCTCATGATGAATAGGAGCACTGATGCTCTGTTTGTTTCGAGGGTTCTAGTCTGATTTAGGATCATGATTCTTGGTTCTTTACAGTGTTTTTCTCTTACAAAAAATTTAAATTTCAAAAATCAAAATCATGAACCATGGTTCTGAACCTATGAACCAAACATCAGCTAATTCTTTTATTTATTGTATAGCTTGATTCCGTCATTCTTATGTTTGCTTTTAAGTATCTGTTAACTCTATTATATGATAGTCTAACATATCTTAATGAGATTTGAACGATTAAAAATTGTCGCTTAAAAGAGTCCTATTGCTTAAGTTATTTTGGAAGATCGCTCTTAATTTAACTTTTCAATGTTTTCAACACTTTGTGTCCTATTTAGTGCATTTTTTTTTTCGTGTTCTACCATAGACTTTTCCTAAAGAATTATTTACAATATTGCAGAGTACCAAACTCTCTTCGGATATGAAGGATAAAATTAGATAAAATATATAAAAGATGAAGGAAAAAAAAGTGATCTATTTTACCTAATTATTATAAGTCGGTAAAATAACAAGTACTTGTTTTTTAGTTATATTATGGTCGTATCATGATTGTTTATTAATTTCGATAACGGTGTACTTTCTAATTTCTTCATTTTACTTTTCAATCTTAAAGAACGAAAAAGACATTATCTTCTCCATGTCATACAAATTGTACTTAGAAACTTTTACTTTAAATATTTTGTGGTTTTCGTGATCATTTCTCATACTGATGATAAAGATATATGACAAACATTTTCCAGGTTTTGAACAACCAAACTTTTACTATCCTCATCACTGCGCTTTGGTTGATGACTGCAGCCGTCGGACCAATTCTATCCTTCGCTTACAAGTCCGGCAAACCCTCCGGCGAATACAAGCGAAGCTGCGTGACAAGCGTAGAACCTCATGAGTCGGAGCTCCGAATCCTCACATGCTCTCACTCCTCGCAAGAAGTGACCGGCATTGCTAACCTCCTCGATGCCTCCAACCCCACCAAGGAATCTCCGATCTCCGTCTTCGCCCTCCATCTAGTCGAGCACGTTGGTCGCGCCTCCGCAATGCTAATAGTCCACAATGCCTGTAGGATCGACGAGACCGGAGGCGACAAAGATGATGACTCATCCGCTGTTGCTGCCACCTCAGCCTTCAACGACCTGAAAAATGGTAAGGAATTAGGCTCACTCTTCATTCACCCGCTTACCGTGGTCTCGTCCTTTGCCACAATGCACGAGGATATCTGCAGCTTAGCGGAGGAGAAGCAAACCAACCTCATAATCCTCCCCTTTCACCTCAAGCCCACCACTGACGGAGGCGTGGAGAGCACAAAGGGAAACCCTTTTCGTATCATGAACAAGCACGTTTTGGAGAACTCGCCATGCTCGGTGGCAGTGTTGGTGGACCGCGGCCACCGACCACCAACGGTGCTTGCCAAGTTAGACAATCAGGGCCACCTCTGCCGCCACTTCTTCGTGATCTTCATTGGTGGACCAGACGACCGCGAGGCATTGGCCTACGCTCAAAGAATGTCTGGAAACCCTAACATCGGCTTAACAGTCACCCGGTTTTCCTTAGATAATGAAAATCATGTCGAATTAAGTACCGATGATGAAGAAAAAGAAGAGAAATTACTAGATAATCAATGTCTCGAGGAGTTTCGCCGTGAGACAAAGAACAACTCAGCGGTGAAGCTGAGAGATGTCGTAGTAAGAAGCTGGGACGAGATAGTGAAAGTGATCATAGACATGGAAGGCGACGAGTACGACCTTATAATAGTTGGAAGA